GGGAGGGGGATTAGGATGGTGCGGGGGGAGGCGGTGTCAGTGCCCTTTAGAGGTGGATTAAAATCCTGCCGTAGCTCCTGAGTGAGATTGGCACAGCATCCACTCTGTCGTGCATAGGAGACCTCTTTGCCACATCACGTAGCAGCTATATCAGCTGCTGCCGGTTGTCAGGGTCTGCTGATGGGAGCAACGCAGGGCTTGGATGTTTAAGGGATGGAAAGGGTTGGGGCAGCAAAGCTCAGTGAGCCAAAAACTGAAGACTTGCCTCGCATGCTGAGGTGGTGATGGGCTTGGGCTGTTCTTTTCAGTGAGGGGGAAAGGCAGTCTGCAATATGCTTATAATAGGCACCTGGTACTGTGGGTTTTGAGGGCCATCCAGTTCTGGTAAATGCAAGACAGCCCCTGGTGACTTAGTCATGGCAGTAAGATTGCTAGTTAAGCACAGAACTATTCTGTCTCTTCTCCCCATCTTTTGTATTAGAACAAGAGGTTGGGCTGTGATTAACTGCCTCCATGACATTTGTTTCGTCTTCTGCTAGGCTGTTCGAAAGTACTGCCCACATCATGTGGGCCATTACTTGGGCATGGATGTTCATGATACCCCAGATATATCCCGATCGCTCCCGCTCCAGCCAGGCATGGTGATAACCATTGAACCAGGTAAAAAGATCCGCAGTCAGTGGTGGACAAAAACATGCAACGCTGAGTATAACAGTATTGCTTTCAGTAGTTAGTTGGTCCCTCAGACCAAAGCATTCAGGTCCTTTCTGGTGAAATTGAAAATGATTACAGTATTGGAAAACCTTAAGTTATTCCCCTCCCAAAGTCATTACAGTATTAGAAAACCCCATTTCCCTCCCAAACACAGCCAAATTGTGGGGGTTAACTCTCAGACAGTGATCGAGTGCAGTGCAGAGAAGCAGGGTCAATTCACTTGTGCTGTGTTCTGTGTTACTGTGACTAAACTACTACCAGTCACTGGTAGTGTAAGTCTCAAGCATTGCAGTCTGCAGTTACAGGCATTCACAACTTAGCTTTGCAAATTAGGCATTTCACGATGAATCTTTCTTTCTGCTTGTCACTGGATTTGGAGCTGTCAGCTGGAAACTGATATTTAATGCTTGGCTCTTCTCTCTCTCTATTCAGAACATTGTTAAAATCATCATTGTGAACATAGCATTGAGAGCAAGAAGTGTGGATAGGCCAGCTGTAATTGTGGAAGTTTTTATTAACATGCTAGTGTCTGAGGGACACTTCCCTTTCTTTGCCCAGCAACTGCCATGAGTGAGGGGAAAGAGAGTAGCTTTCCTTATTAAAAATTTTCAGGATCGAACTCATGTTTTGTTGCCGAAAATCCAACTCTGCTCTCATGGTGGGGCAGTAAGGGAAAGGTGTTGTTATGGAGAGTGTTGTGTGTTTTAATTCCCTTCTTTCTTTCAGGCATTTATATCCCTGAGGATGACGTGAGTGCCCCAGAGAGGTTTCGTGGCATTGGTGTGCGCATTGAGGATGACGTTGTGATAACAGAGGATGCACCTCTCATCTTGTCTGCTGACTGTCCCAAGGAGATCTACCACATCGAGCAGATCTGTGGCTCCTGATGCCCCTTCTCTGCCTCTTTCATCCTCCTCAGGAGGCGCAGCCCACCAGGGATGCAGATCCCTGTAGGTGGCTGTAGTTGTCAAGTGATGGAGGGTGTGGACAGTTGATGGGTGTTTCCAAAACTGGGGCTGGGAAGTAGAGTGCAAAAGGCTTGGGTACTTAGGGATGAAAAAGCAAAGCAACCTTTTCTGTGTGCATTTTCCTTCTGATTTGCTTAGTGCTGATGTTGAGCTGTTGTAGGACGTGGGGGTGGTTTCATATCTCTGCTTTGTGGATCCATCTGTTCTTGTGCCCTTGGAGGGATGAATTTTGTCCGTGCCACCAGCAGGGCTTGTGCCTGGTCCCTCTCCAGATGCATAGGTGCAACTGCTGAGGCCAGGGCCCTGTTTTTTGCCCTTTAGCAGTAGTTTTACAACAGTCAGATTTTAAAAATGAAGCTTTGATAAATGCTGTTTTGGGGGAATAAAGTGTGTCAGACAGCTTTGATTTTTATAGAGCCCTGGAAGGAGGGGCTTTGGTAGTCAGGAAGATGGGTTTTGGTTTATCTGAAGCCTGTGGAGAATGTTTTAGTGTTTTAAGGGTAAGGATGTGTTTGGGCCTTGTTCAGGCATATGCAAAATAGGCCAACGGCAGGAAAAAACATCTCATCTGGTCTTTCAGGTTATTGGAGTGTTTGGTAATTTCAGAAAGGACAGATAGGGCTCAGGAGGTTGGACATACCCGTTCTTGCTGTCTTCCGCATTCCCTTCTTTTTGTCCCAAATGTCCATTCCAGTCTCCTGTTGTGAGCCCACCTCTATCCTGGGAAGCAGGGCCATGTTGGCTGTGCTGGACTCCACTGGTGAGCTGCTGGTTGTCACCTAGATGTGAGGTGTCCGATTCTAGAACAGTCACAGCACCTTACTGGTTTATGCTGTAAGTGCCAGCAACTTCAGCAGTGTATTTTTGAAGAGTCTTCCCTATCATGAGTCTCAAGTCTTTCTACAGCTTTTATACGGAATTTAAAGTAATTATTTTTAAAAATTCTGAGGGCAAGATCACAGCTGCCTTTTGGGTGTTGCCAAGTGCAGTCAGTAACTAATGCTCTGTGACAGTATTTTTGAGGCAGCTGCAAATGTGATTAGGGGCTAGAATGGATGAGGAGTAAAGAGAAGAGTTGTCTTCCCTCAGCATCAGCCTACCACCCAGGCCATTGTATGCAGTAGTAAATACACCTACTAGAGGCAAACATGGTGTCTGTGTATTTACTGAAAATATTTTGACAATCAGCTATTTAACATGTCTGAAAAATGCCTCTCATCAGTGCATCTCCTTTTATTTATGCTTGCTGTAGCACACATCATCTTACTTCCTTTCTGACGGTAGCTTTCAGTATTTTTTGTCTGTTATTCTCAATTTTCTTTCTTTTTCTCTTCTCTTCCTATATTGTCTATTTTTGACTCACTATAATGTCACTGCTTCCTAATCCATTTTGCTTTCTAATCAATGTCACTGCCTCTTCCCCAGTTTGCCCTAATTCCCCACAGTGAAGGTAGCTAGAAGCATGTGGTAGTTAGGATTCCTGAGTTTGACCTCTGGTTCTGTTGCTGAGTAACCTCTAGTGAAATCTGCTCTTTTTTTCTCTCTTTTTCCTTTCCTGTGTTTCATTTCACTTAGTGAAGGCCAAATGGACAGTGTCTTGCATCTCTCACTGCTTTTAATGGCAGCTGGGTGCGTGCACTGGGGTTTGAATTTGGCACTTGAAAGGCAGCCGAGACATGCTGTAATTTTATTTTTTAAACATGACAAAAAGCAAATGCTTTTACAGGGTTTAGCGTATCAAGTTTCACCTAGTTAAGAGAATCTGCTAATCTTTGATGGAAGCCTTTGTTAGATGCTCATGCGTTACAGTGATACGTACAGTGTAAATTGTTAGAAGGAAGGCTTGTTAAGTGTGGACACAGAACTGATGAATGCTTTTGATGTTGTTCTGATCTGTAACACATTTGTTCTTCCAATTACACCTGTTAGAGCCATGTTAACTGGGACAAATCCTGGATTTTGGAACTATGTAAGCAGCTTAAAATAACATTAACCTGAGAGCTACATATGTGTGCTGATCTGCACATCTGCCCGGGTACCTAACAGAGTTAATAATTGTACTTACTGTAAATAAGCCTTTGAAATACATATTAAAAAGTTATTTTTAAAATAAAACAATTTGTAGAAAGTCATTTCTCGGGCCATCAAGTTGCATGGCTGTTGAATGGATATAAGCACCTCCAGAAAGAGCATTATTTTTTGGGGAGATTTATAAATTATCTGTAACCTATACTTAAAATAACATTGTCAAATGCAGGCACACACAAATTCCTACTCCTCTCAGGAAAATCCTGGAACTTGCAAACACCAATAGATCTTAGGAATGTTGCGGATGAATGTTTCTGTCAGTAAAGAAGTGTTTGTGACTCTGCTGAGTGGAGAGTAATGGATCTGCTGGGGCTGCTGTGCTCCACCATGCTAAGCGTGTCTGATTTAGCTGTGCATTGCTCCATATTCTGTAATTCTTCTACAGTGTTCAGCCATTTCTTCAGCATAAACTGCTGCTAATGTTTTGAATCTGTTGTCCCATATAAAGGAGAGTGCATTTTGCAGAATGTATTAAATTTGAGTCTTATCAACCTAAATTTTGGAAGGCTTTTTCTCACTTGTTGCAGAGGTGGATAATCAGAGCATCATCTGGGACCTACACGCATGCTGCAGTGTCCCTTGAATACAACCAACTCCATGAACATTTTACATGGCCTTCATCGAGAAACTAAAGAATCCCTTTTCTGGCTGCATATACCCATGGCGTTACCTCCCCAGTCACCAATCCCATACTGCCAGATTTACGGTCCGTCTTTGCCCCAGAAGAGATTCCTTGCTCCAACCACTTGGGTGCAGAGGCAGCTCTCAGTGGCAGCACAAGTTGCCAGCTGCTTGATGAGGGCGTTGGTGGGATCACTGGAAGCGAAAGAGAAATTGAGGTATACGCAAGTTCACTCCGGGAGAGATTTTATTGTGACTATGGCACAGGTCTTAAGGGCATCAGAGTATGAGAGAAAATGAGAGCCAGCCATCCCTATGGAGAAGCTGCTTTGCTTTCAGAGGAAGCCTGGGAGGCTTTTCTTGGCTTTCCCATTTCGCCTTCTACCAGGGGCCTGCTTTGCCTTGCAGAGAACTAGTTAGTAGTAAAGTCCTGTTGTTAAAGTACAGTCTGAGCAGAGGTGCTAATTTGCAGATATGCTTCTGTCATCAAAGTGGAAAGAAATTTGGCATTTAACACAATTTGGCATTCTATCTCTGTTATCTGTGAAAAATACAATATGTCTTTCCTAAAATTGCATTCATTATTTTGCAAAGGAACCTGATGGTGCAGGAAGAAGCAAACTGAGGGAGCACATAAAAGAGAATGGAGAGGGAGGTTTTTGGGAATGTACAATGCAATAGAAAGGATTCAGGAGAATGGTGTGATTTGGAGCTGTGGGGATGTGTGCGGGTGGATGTGAGAGCAAGGAGAGAACAACAGGGTATAAAATGGCTATTCAGCATGTTGTCAGCATGGTGCAATAGCTCCAGGAAACTGGTTATGCTAACCAGGAGACCCTGATTGATTTGTCCTACTCAGGAGGGGGGAACAAAGGAGTCAGATTGTATTGATGAACTTGGTCTTAACAGTTAGTTTAATTATTTCTTTTAAAAATCAATAGAATTATCATATGAGAAAGTTTTCTGCAGTTTCATGTTATTGATCATGTGTCATATTTTAAATAATGTGAAGGGGAAAAAGTATGTTTCTAGGCAAAATCTTCATTATGATGGAGGGAGCAAGGCTGAAGTTACATGCTCTTATGCTACCCAAATTACTGCTATGGAAATTTAGTAATTACTCCCAGGAGAATTACCATAAAGCAAAAAAAGTTAGGGTTAAACTTAGAAAAAAACCTATATGAGATAAATGACAAAAATGCTTTAATTATGATGAGATGCTTAATACTTTGTGTAATTGGATAACGAAACTCCGCACTGCAATAAAGTGACATTTTTTGATTTTTAAACTGAATTGTCTAGAAGCCTATATAGGCATCTCTTCATTAGTATGCAGATCTAAACTGCATTTAAGTTCATAATTTTCTGAGATCATTACAGCATCTCTGTTACATGTGCTCCCTGCATGCATGCTCAGCCTCTACTTGATTAAAAATCATCATTTGGACACTTTGAAAACGCTGGCTCTAGGAGTGGGTCTGACTTATAAAATTCATTCTATTTCAGAGGTGTAACAGGAAGTTACATTTTAAAGCAGAATTTATAATCAAAATGGATAGTGAGACACGGTGGGCTCAATGGCGCTCAATTTCTCCCCTCAGCTCCTTTCACCTTCCTGGAGTTTGTCTTGCTGTCTTAACTGGCTGCCAGCTCTGAGCCTTCCTCACCAGCAGCAAGCGGAGCAATGAACTCCTATCTTCTGGGACAAGTTACGCCTCAGCCCACCTGGTTGTTTCTCTGAAGCACCACCTGATATTTGGCTAACCAAACCAGACTCTTCAGAAGATGGGCAGAAAGGAACAAGGAAGAATTTCCAGGTCCTCCATGTGTGTTACCTTCTCTTGCTGACTCATACCACGTATGCCTTTTTAACTACCATGACAGAGTTATATATTAACAATGGCAATGAAAAAAAAAAAATTTCTCTCTGGGTAAGCCTTATGACCATATCTTTGAGTAAAGAAAAAGTAAGTTAGAAAGCTGGTTGTAGATCCAGGAGTGAGAATGGCTACTGCAGGGTTCAAAATGTTCCTTCCCCTTGCATGTTGGGGAAACAAGTAGCGCTGCAGGAGCCACGTGCAGGTTTGGGAGCTTCTTGCGAATGCTGGTCTCAGACATGCTCTGATGGGCCAGAACTGGCAGTGGTTGAAGCTCTGTGTTGGTTTTCTCCTCTCAAGATGGTGAAGAGCCTGTGGCTTTTTAAAGGAATCTCTTTTTTTTCATGATTCGGGCAGGAATATCATGTCAGCAGAGGTTGGGAACACTCAGCCTGTGGTTCAATCATCAACTAGAAGTTGGCAGTCCAGCAAAAACTGGTTGAAATGCAGTTCTTTCCAGGGAAATAGGCTCACTGCGTTTTTTTGTCAGTAAACCGGGCCAATATGAACAATATTGTGTAAAGAGGAGAGAGGCTCAGCTTCTTTTTATTCCGAGGCAGAACGAAGCTTCTGCCTCTTATGTCCACTTTTGAGAGATTAATGCAA